GCTGCCGAGGTGCCATCGCCACAGGAGGGTGCTCAGTTCAGCACGGGACCGGCCCTGTCTGTCTGGGTGCTGTGGAATATGGAGGAGCTGAATCAGCCCCAGTCAGGGCCAGTGGAGGCTTTGGGGGAGCAGAACTAAAGGCCCGTGAGGCTGCTGCTATTGGCTCCGGTCAGGCAGGGGCGTCGGGGCACAGACAGGGAGGGAGCCAAAGCAGGGGTAAAGGGCAGTTCAGTCTCCTGACCAGTTATGTCCTTTGCCCCTCGCCTGGGAGCCACTCAGACTGAGGGCTGGCCTGGGCTGCACACACCTGTCCTGTCACGGGGGGGAATTAACCCCAGCAGCTCATTTCACATTTTGGGCATCAGAGAGCTGCAATGGTTGTGACTTCCACTAACTACCAGCTTGGACCCAAGGCCCCAGACGTGAAAGCCCAGTGCCTGTTCCCCCGATGCCAGCCACTGCCCTTCCTCCGGGGGAAAAGCCCCAGGTCTCCTTCCCCCAACATACTGTGTCAGCTCATCCCCCTCGCACAGACTATACTGGAGCCAGAGTCCCCTGGGGGGAAAAACCCTGTGTCCCATTCTCCATCCCATGAGTCAGCCATTCCCCCCTGCCTGGGGATGGATCAGAGCTGGTGACCTCCAGAGGGGACCTCCCAGTGTCCCATTCTCAGCCCCCCCTAAGCCAGCCAGTCTGCCACACTGGGACTGAATGGGAGACAGAGTAAACTATAGGGGAAAAGCCCCATATTCCTTTCCTCTAGCCCATCCCTGAGTGTTTATCCCCTTGGGGTATTTCCAGACTCAGGCATCCCAGAACTAACTCAGCTCCGACTGGTGAACGGCCCGAGTCGCTGCGCTGGGAGAGTCGAGGTGCTTCACAACCAGCAGTGGGGAACCGTGTGTGATGACAGCTGGGATTTAACTGAGGCCAGAGTTGTGTGCAGGCAGCTGGGCTGTGGGACGGCGTTATCAGCCCCACGTGGGTCTCGTTTTGGACAGGGAACTGACCGTATCTGGCTGGATGAGGTTAACTGCACAGGGACAGAAGCCGCCCTCTCTGAATGCAGGGCTAGGCCTTGGGGAGAGAATAACTGTAACCACATGGAAGATGCTGGTGTTGAGTGCTCAGGTAACCCTCATCTCTCATGCCATGGTGGGTGCTGCAGGGAGTGGATTAGGAAGCTTTCAGCCCAGCCCCTGGTTCACCGTCTGAGTTCCTGTGCCCCAGCGCTGCACTATGGGCCTGTACTGAAGGGAGCAGGTTAGGAACACAGTAGGAGGCACTCTCCCCTAGCAGTCTGGGCTGACCCCAGTCCTCCTGCTGGCTGACAAAAGGTCTGTGCTGCAGGGTATGGGTCTCAGCCAAGAGTTCTTTCGTCTCACAGTCAGTGATGATTTCAATCCCCCAGAGCAGAGCTCGGGAGCACGCGCTGCAGAGGGTGGTGTGTGGGGCACAGTGAGAAGCCCTCTCCCCACTCTGATCGCTCTCATCCCCAGCCCTCCCTGGCACAATGCGGCGCTGGGGAAGCATGGATCCCAGCTCTGGGACTTGGTGTCAAACAGAGCTTTCAGTCGCTCCTGGGGACTAGAAACCCGGGGTCACTTTGACAAGAGTTGGGCTCCTAACTCAGCCATGCTGGACAATTTGCACCACCGACAATTAGTCCTGAACCTGTAACATCCCCCACAGCTCTGACTGGACACAACATTTCCCGCAACTTCCTATCTGTACAGTCATCATATTTCTGTGCCCTGACTCTCAGCTGCCCTGTGCCACCCCAGAAGTGGCAGCATGTCAGTGGTGGGGACTGAGCCCTTGACATGCAGTGGCTGTGTGAGGAGGCCAGTCACACCCATCAGTGGTAGGAGATACATTCATCAGCATCACTTGTGATCAGATGCACAGGAATCTCCTTGAGTGTTTATTGCATTTGCAGACTCGGTCATTCCAGACCCAGGTCCTCTCCAACTGGTGAACGGCCTCAATCGCTGTGCTGGGACAGTTGAGGTGCTTCATAACCATCAGTGGGGAACAGTGTGTGATGACAGCTGGGACTTAACTGATGCTGGAGTCGTGTGCAGGCAGCTGGGCTGTGGCACAGCGTTATCAGCCCCAGGCTGGGCTCGATTTGGACAAGGATCTGGCCCAATTTGGCTGGATGAGGTTACCTGCACTGGGACTGAAGCTGCCCTCTCCGAATGCAGGGCTAAGCCTTGGGGAGACCATGACTGTAACCACGGAGAAGATGCCGGTGTTGTGTGCTCAGGTAACCCTCCTTCCTCATGCCCTTGTGAGTGCTGTGAGAAGCAGTTCAGGGACTCACTGGGGCGCTCTCCCCTCACAGTGAGTTCTGACCCTGATGCAAAATGCTGTGCTGGGGCTCAGCAGAGCCTGCTCTCCCTGCAGACTCCTGCGTTACCACAAAGCCCCAGGTCGTGTCTAAGGGCCTTGCTGCAGGGAGCAGTTTGGGGACCACAGGAGGCGGCTGCCCTGTCTCAGAGTCAGTGCTGACCCCAATGCCCCACCGTGCTGCAGGCTGAGGTGTGTACCTCACTGTGAGAGCCCCTCTCCCACCTCTGCTCACTCTGATCCCCACACCCAACTACAGCACTATGGGCGCTCAGTGACCATTGAGTTCTAGTCAGACTCACTTGGTGTCTTAGAATCTGTAGAGGAGCGGACTCACCCCTGCGGAACCTCCTGCTGGTCACTTCTGGGAATTAGCTCTTCCAGCATCCTGGAGCGCCCCCTGCAGGCCAGTGATCCACCTGTCCTCTGGCCCCATGTCCCTCCCGGACCCCGGTGCCCTTTTATCTGGGGTGCTGCCCCCTGGCAGTACACCCCACAGTACTAGGGTCTCCCTTCCCTGGGGAACCCCCACCCACTATCCCTACCTCACCTCAGAATAAGGCCACTGCCAGTCACCAACTAGACCCCGCTCCCTGGGGCAGACTGCAGTATAGGCCACAGGTAAGGTTGGGTTTTGACCTGCTGCCTTGGCCTACCTATGGGCTGCCCTCTGCAGCCTCCAGTACCCCTTGGCCTCCTACTAGGCCGCTGCCTGGGGCTATCCAGGCTGGAGCTCCCCAGCTCCTCAGCATGTTCCCAGCCCTGCTCCACTCAGGTACTCTGTCTCTAGCTCACTGCAGCCAGGCCCTTCTCCCTCTGAAGACAGAGAGAGACTGCTGAGCGCCTGGCTCCCAGCCTTTTTATACAAGCCAGCTGTGGGCTGATTGGGGCATGGCCCAGCTGTGGCTACTTCCCCAATCAGCCCAGCTTTTAGAGCTGCAGCCCTCTGCCAGGAAGGAATGGGGTAACCACCCCGCTACAGAATCATAGAATATCAGAGTTGGAAGGGACCTCAGGAGGTCATCTAGTCCTACCCCCTGCTCAAAGCAGGACCAACACCAACTAAATCATCCCAGCCAGGGCTTTGTCAAGCCTGACCTTAAAAACCTCTAAGGAAGGAGATTCCACCACCTTCCTAGGTAATCCATTCCCGTGCTTCACCACCCTCCTAGTGAAAAAGTTTTTCCTAATATCCAACCTAAACCTCCCCCACTGCAACTTGAGACCATTACTGCTTGTTCTCTCATCTGCTACCATTCAGAACAGTCTAGATCCATCCTCTTTGGAACCCCCTTTCAGGTAGTTGAAAGCAGCTATCAAATTCCCCCTTGTTCTTCTCTTCTGCAGACTAAACAATCCCAGCTCTCCTCATAAGTCATGTGCTCCAGCCCCTGAATCATTTTGTTGTCCTCTGCTGGAGTGTTTCCAATTTTCCCACATCCTTTTTGTAGTGTGGGGCCCAAAACTGGACACAGTACTCCAGATGAGGCCTCACCAATGTTGAATAGGGGGGAATGATCACGTCCCTTGATCTGCTGGCTATGCCCCTACTTATACCAAAATGCCGTTATCCTTCTTGGCAACAAGGGCACACTGTTGACTCATATCCAGTTTCTCGTCCACTGTAACCCCTACGTCCTTTTCTGTAGAACTGCTGCCTAGCCACTTGGTCCCTAGTATGTAGCAGTGCATGGGATTCTTCCATCCTAAGTGCAGGACTCTGCACTTGTTCTTTTTGAACCTCATCAGATTTCTTTTGGACCAATCCTCCAATTTGTCTAGATCCCTCGGTATCCTATCCCTACCCTCCAGCGTATCTACCACTCCTCCTAGTTTAGTGTCATCTGCAAACTTGCTGAGTGCAATCCACGCCATCCTCCAGATCATTAATGAAGGTATTGAACAAAACCGGCCCCAGTACCGACCCTTGGGGCACTCTGCATGATACCGGCTGCCAACTAGACATGGAGCCATTGATCACTACCCGTTGAGCCCGACAATCTACCCAGTTTTCTATCCACCGTGACAGGGTCAGGCCAAATGGCTACAAGAAAGTGGTCGAAGGTAGATACATTAGTTCCAGGTTAAGCAGGTCCCTTTTCCCTGGGTAAGATAACAGGGACTATTCCAGAAAACTCAGGAACTTTCTAGAACTAATTAAGGCAGGCAGGCTAATTAGGACACCTGTAGCCAATTGGGAAGCTGCTAGAATTAATTAAAGCTAATCAGGACACCTGGTTTAAAAAGGCTTTCACTCCAGTTAGTGAGGTGTGCATAAGGAGCTGGGAGTGAGAGGATGTGCTGCTGGAGGTCTGAGGAGTACAAGCATTAACAGACATCAGGAGGAAGGTCCTGTGGTGAGGACAAAGAAAGTGTTGGGAGGAGACCATGGGGAAGTAGCCCAGGGAATTGTAGCTGTCGTGCAGCTGTTCCAGAAGGCACTCTAGACAGCTGCAGTCCACAGGGCCCTGGGATGTAACCCGGGGTCGAGGGTGGGCCCAGGTTCCCCCCAAACCTTCCAACTCCTGATCCAACACAGGAGGTTCCACCAGAGGGGAAGGTCTCTGGGCTGTTCCCCGACTCACATGGTAGAGAAGCAGAAACTGTGAAGATTGTTCTTACTCTTTTTTCCCCATGCTGGCCAGTGATGAGGTTATCTGAGTGAATGGCAGATTTGAGCCACGAAAGTGGCCAAACTGAGGGCTACTGTGAATCTCTGAGGCGAGCAAAATCGGCCAATAAGCGGAGGACCCACCAAGGTAGAGGAGGAACTTTGTCACACCACCTTATAGTCCATTCATCCAGCCCATACTTCTTTAACTTGCTGGCAAGAATACTGTGGGAGACCGTATCAAAAGCTTTGCTAAAGTCAAGGAATAACACGTCCACTGCTTTTCCCTCATCTTATTTTGATGAGATGAGAGGTTTGGTTGCTTAAGGGCATAGCCCTGAATGTGCTCTGCTTAGACATCTGCCATTTTTGTATGCAGTGTAGTTGCAGCTATGTTGGTCCCAGGATACGAGAGAGACAAGGTGGGTGAGGTAATGTCTTTTATTGGACCAACTTCTCTTGGTGAGAGAGACAAGCTTTCCAACCACACAGAGCCCAGACCTGAAGAAGAGCTCTGTGTGAGCTCCAAAGCTTGTCAGTCTCACCAACTGAAGCTGGGCCAATGAAAGATATTACCTCACCCACCTTGTTTCTCCAGATTTCTGTAAGGCATTCGACTTGGCACCGCACAAGAACGATGCAAAATCAATGTGTCACACATTAAACGGATTAAAAACTGAACAACTTACTGGTCTCAAAATGTAATTGGGAATGGAGAATCATCATTGGGAAATGTGTTTTGACTGGGGCCCTGCAGCATCACTGCTTGTCTTTACGCTATCTATCATTTTTATCAATGAATTGGAAGAAAACATAAAAACATCAGTCAGAAAGTTTGCAGATGACACAAAAAGTGGGAGACTAGTAAATAGAGAACAGGACAGGTCAGTGACACAGAGTGATCTGAATAGCTAGGTAAGCTGGGTACAAGCAAACAAGATGCCTTTTAATATGACCAAATGTAAAATTATACATCTAGGAACACAGAACACAGGCCATATTTACAGGAATGGGGACTCTCTCCTGGGAAGCAGTGACTCTGAGAAAGATTTGGGGGTGGGGGGTGGATAATCAGATGAAAAGGAGCTCCCAGAGTGATACTGTGACCAGAAGGACTAATGCAATACTGGAATGCATACACAGGGGAATCTTGAGTAGCTGTAGAGAGGTATTTTACCTCTATAGTTTGCACTGGTGCGAACGCTGCTGGAATCCTGTGTCAAGTGTGACGGGATCCTCGGGGTGCAACCTGGGACTGTGGGACCATTGTGTCCCCTTAACTCTCTCCAGCCTGGGCTGTCTCACACAATGCTTTGCTAGTGACAAGCAGCAAACCCCTCCAGGCACTGTGATCACTCAGCACAACCGCATGTGGAGCCCCCACACCCAGATAGATTGCATGAATGCTCCCAGAGCCACTCATGAATCACACTGAGAAAGGTACCAGCCCAATCCCCCCAGCTCCCAGCCTTGTACCTCAGGAATATACCATCTTGTACTGCTCAAGAAAAGAAGTGCAAATTTATTAATTGGTTCACCACTTCATCAATGGAAAGTGGATATACTCCAGCCTTTGTAAATCTGAGCAGATTTACCAAACACTTCAGGCAAACTTAGTGGTAAAGATAAATACACCTCTACCCCGATATAACGTGACCCAATATAACACGAATTCGGATATAACGCGGTAAAGCAGCATTCGGGGTGGGGGGGGGGGCTGCGCACTCCGGTGGATCAAAGCAAGTTCGAGATAATGCAGTTTCACCTATAATGCAGTAAGACTTTTTGGCTCCCGAGGACAGCGTTATATCGGGGTAGAGGTGTAGTTAAACAAATTTATTGATTACAAAAGATAGATTTTAATTGATTATAAGTGATAAGCAAAAAATCAGAGTTCGTTACCAAAATAAAATAAAATATAAGCACACAGTCTAAACTCTCAACCCTATTAGACTGGGCAATATCTAGGTTAAGCAGTTTTTCTCACCCCACTGGATATTGCAGTTCATTGTACGTAGATTTCACCCTTGAAATCTGGGCCAGTCTTCTCTGTTGGAGTCTTCAGTCTTCTGAGTGTCCTTGTTACTTGCAACATAGGTGGGGGGCGGGGGAGAAAAGGCCAAGCATGGGCTCCCTGTGTTCTGTTTTATACCCTTAGTTCTATGTGCTTGGAGAACACAAGTCCAGGCATGTCTGGTGGGCATTGCTGAGTCCCCAGGCAAGGTTGAGCAATTTCCCGGGTGTGGTCTTATGCAGATGAGTCTCTGAATTGTAACTCCGTTGCTGGATAATGGCTGTTGATGGTTGTTGGACATCCACCTGGGCGTTTGTTAGCTCTCTTGTCATCGTCTCTGGAGAGCTAGTATCTGGGTGCTTCCCAAACCCACAGCATATTTTAGTGAAAACTATACAACTAATTTCTTATAATATTATATGCATTAATGATACACATATTTAGATAGAACAATGGCTTTCAGCAGATCATAACCTTTCCCATGATACCTCACATGGCCTACTTTATATGCAATATCACAATTATATGTAAATGAGGAATATGGGGGTTACAGGGCGCTCCCACAAGGTATAGAATGTCACATCCAGTTCTGGTGCCCACAATTCAAGAACTATGCTGATATATTTAAGAAGGTTCAGAGAAGAGCCATGAGAATGATCAAAGGATTAGAAAACCTGCCTTGTGGTGATAGATGCAAGGGGCTCAATCTGTTTAGTTTAACAAAGAGAAGGTGAAGGGGTCACTTGAGCACAGTCTATAATTACCATCATGGGAAACAGAAATGTGATAATAAAGGATTCTTCAATCTAACAGGCAAGTGATTAAAAAGATCTGATGGTTCACAGTTGAAGAGAGACAAATTTAGATTACAGATAAAGTGCAAATTTGTATTGATGAGGATTATTAACTGTTGGAACAGTTTACCAAGGGCTGTGGGGGATCCTCCCTCACTGGCAATTTTTAAATGAGGATTGGATGTGTCTGAAAGATCTGCCCTAGGAATTACTCTGGGGCAGGTCTCTGGCCTGTGCTACACAGGAGGTCAGACTAGGTGGTCACAGTGGGCACCTTGGGATCAATGAATCCCGCTGATCAGATTCATTTCCAGATGGAGCTTGCAGCCATTCCCAAGGAGTAGGGACCCTGGGTCACTCTGTCAAGCATCAGGCTCCTAAACCCATTGCCCCGGCCAATTAGCATCTTAGCTGATGAGCCATGAACCTTTAACATTTGGCACCGTTGTGACTGGATACAGAATTCTTTCCCATGTCCTGCCTAAATGACTGGGCCAGATTTCCCTCGCCTGTTTCTCAGCTGTACCCCTATGGTGGCTGCATATTAGTGGTGGGAATTGAAACCCTGATAGGTGGTAGCTGTGTGTGGAGGCTGTTCAGACCTGCCAGTGAGAGGCTCTACATTCCCCATCATCATTAGTGATCAGATGCACAGGAATCTCCCTGAGTGATTATTCCCTTTGGGCTTTACAGATTCTGGCATTTCAGAAGTGGCTCAGCTCCGACTGGTGAACGGCCCGAATCACTGCGCTGGGAGAGTCGAGATGCTTTACAACCAGAAGTGGGGAACCGTGTGTGATGACCGCTGGGACTTACAGGATGCTGGAGTCGTGTGCAGGCAGCTGGGCTGTGGGACAGCGTTATCAGCCCCACGAGAGGCTCGATTTGGGCGAGGATCAGATCGTATCTGGCTGGCTGACGTTCACTGCTCAGGGACAGAAGTTGCCCTCTCCGAATGCAGGGCTCGGCTTTGGGGAGACAGTTACTGTAACCATGGACAAGATGCCGGTGTTGTGTGCTCAGGTAACTCTCATGTACCACCCTGCGTGTTACTTGGAGGAAGGTGGGAAGCTCACTGCAGGCCATTGTCCCCTCACAGCCAGTGCTGACTAGGGTTACCATATTTCAACAATCAAAAAAGAGGACGGGGGGAGCCCCGCCCTAGCCCCGCCCTTGCCCCGCCCCCACCCTGCCCCATCCACTCCCTCCCACTTCCCGCTCCCTGACTGCCCCCCTCAGAATCCCCAATCCCCCCGCTCCTTGTCCCCTGACTGCCCCCTCCTGGGACCCCTGCCCCTAACTGCCCCCCTAGGACCTTACCCCCTACCTGTCCCCTGACTGCCCCGACCCTTATCCACACCCCTGCCCCCAGACAGATCCCCGGGACTCCCACACCCATCCAACCACTCCCTGTCCCCTGACTGCCCCCCGGAGAACCCCCAACCCATCTACCCCCACTGCTCCCTGTCCCCTGACTGCTCCGACCACTCTCCACACCCCTGCCCTCTGACAGGCCCCCCCCAGAAGCTCCAACCCATCCAACCTCCCCTACTCCCTGTCCCTTGACTGCCCCCTCCAGAACCCACCTGCCAGTTCTCCAACCCCCTGGCTCCCTTACCCGTGCCGCTCCGCAGCACACTCCAGGTGGCATCTGGACATAGCCACAACTGGCTCAGAGGGCCTGGGGGTGGGGAGACTTCAGAAGACATTAATGGGGGGACCCCCCAAGGCCTCTAACCATCTTCTGTCTGGGGCTTTATTTTTTTAAATCATCCCCAAAATCTATCCCCCAGCGCCCAGCACCAGGCTGGGCACGGCTACTGCTGCCAGGCGTCCTTTCCATCGGTCATGTACCCCGCAGTCACCCTCCCCCTGCCCCCGCTCCGTTCCAGCGAGGGCGTGACCAGCGCCCCATGAGGAAACGGACACCTGGGTTCCAGACAGGAGCTAAACTCTCTGTTTTCTCTGCTGTGGGGCGGTTCTCTCCCCCCTGCAAAAGCAGGTTAGAACAGCCGTGCCCCGGCTCTCCCCAGGGAGCGGCACGCTGGGCAGCAGGGGCGGGGGAGGAGGAGGAGGAGGGAGGAGCTCTAGAGCTGCCGGAAGCCACCTGGCCAGTGATTTTAAGCTGCAGTGGAGAGGAGGAGGGGGAAGCGGAGGAGAGGCTCTGGCTGCTGGAGCACCATGCGAGTGGCTCAATCCAGCTGGCCGCCCTATCACCCGCGCCGTGCTCTGCAGGGGGGGGGAGAATGCCGGGCATTTTAATATATTAACAAATTCCCCTCCGGACGCTATTTTTAACCTAAAAAGCCGGACATGTCCGGGAGAATCTGGACTAATGGTAACCCTAGTGCTGACCCCAGCATGGTGCTTGGGGCCTGTGCTTCAGGCAGCAATATGGTGGTTCCAGTACGGGGCACTCTCCTCTCAGTCTGTGCTGACCCTAATTCTCCTGAGCGGTTCTATGGGCCTGTGTTGCAGGGAGCAGGGTGAGGGCTCTGTAGGGGGCGCTCTCCCCTTGAAGTCAGTGCTGGCGCCAGTGCCCTAGTGCGGTGACAAGGGGCTTGTGCTGAAGGTAGGGGGACGAGGTGTCAGTACGCAGGGCCAGCTTTAGAAAGAGTGGGGCCCGATTCCTGGGGGTGGGGCATGTGGCAAGCCCCGCCCCCAGGAAACGAGCCGCGCTCCTGCCGGGGTTGCCGGGCTTGGGTCCGGCCCGGGGCCAGTCACCGGCTGGGCCGGACCCGAGCCGCGGGGGCCGGGCCGGACCCAAGCCGCGCTGCGCCGCAGGGGCCGGGCCAGACCCGAGCTGCGCCGTGCCACGGGGGCCGTGCTGGACCCGAGCCATGGGGGCCGGGCCGGACCCGAGCCGCAGGGGCCAGGCCCGCGCTGAGCTGGACCCGAGCCGAGGGGGCTGGGCCGGACCCGAGCCGCGCTGCGCCGCGCCGCAGGGGCCGGGCCAGACCCGAGCTGCGCCGTGCCACAGGGGCCGTGCCGGACCCGAGCCATGGGGGCCAGGCCGGACCCGAGCCGGACCTGAGCCGCAGGGGCCAGGCCGGGCCGGACCCGAGCCGAGGGGGCCGGGCTGGACCCGAGCCGTACCGCGGGGGCCGGGCTGGAGCCGAGCCGGGCCGGAGCCGCTGGGGCTGGCACTCTCGGCTGGAACCGGGGCGAGAATGGGCCGTGCCTCCCCGGAGCCCTTCTCGTGCCCTCCGCCACCCCAGCTTATCTGGTGCTGCCTGCCTGCCCCTGCTTCTTTTCAGACTTCCCGTGAACCTCTGATTCGCGGGAAGCAGGGGAGCGGGAGGAGCAGGGGGCGGAGCATTCAGGGGAGGGGAGGAGGGGGAAGTGAGCTGGGGGCGGGGTGGAGAGCTGTGGTGCGGGGCCCTCTTAGCGCGGGGCCCAATTCAGCCGAATCGGCTGAATTGGCCTAAAGCCAGCCCTGTCAGTGCGGGGTGCTTTCCCCTTGCAGTTGTGCTGACACCAATGCCCCAGTGTGGTGCCATAGGCCCCTGGCATGAGAAAGCCTGGTCTGTGCCTACTGGGGTTCAGCTCCCTGACTCTCCTGGCCACAGGCCACACAGGCCATGTCCTTGAGGCCTCATGGGGTGGCCTCTCTCCAGGTTGGCAATAGGCACATTCCACCCCCAGCCCTCCACCTGTCTCCCTGCATCACCCAGCCCCTGCCCCACTGGGCACTCAAAGCAGTGACAGATCCGCTGCTCCCAAAGGAACAGGGCCCCTAGCTGACCAGCTCCACCTCCCATCACTGCCCCAATCAACGCACAGCCTTAGATCCCTTCATAGTGACAAGAAGGACAAGTGATTTCACAGAGTGTAGAGATTCAATGGGTAGCAAGGAGAAGGGTTGGAAAGAAATGGTTTCATGGCCAATAAAATCATACCACGTAGACTAGAGCCTAGACTCGTTGAATGAGATACTTTTCTGTCTGGTAGAGCAATGCTCACCCCAGAGTCCTTCCAGGGTTTTACTCCAGGCTTGGCTGTGATCTCCTGTTCCTGAGACAAAAGCTGTCAGCCGCCTCCTGGGTGAAAGGGAGCTCTTGTCCCCTCTCCTCTTTCTTTGTAGGTACAGACCATTGTCTCTTCCCGGAGGAGGTCTCTCTTCAGAGACTTGTGCAAAGGTCCTTTGTCTTTGTAAATTCTCAGACCCCCACTGGGCCCAGACAGTGAATATAGCCTGTCTCCATGGCTGTACTTTGTTCTATGTGCTGATTGGCTCAGCCGAAGGGATTGCCATGGCGCTGGTGACAAGCTTCACTTCAGCACTTCTGGAGTGTCGTATTCTACATTTTACATCTCTCTTCAATTATGTCCCATACAAATATCTTGCCCCCGTTAGGTCGACCAGCGGGCTGCTGCCTTTTGGTAGAGACCTCACATGCCACCCACTAGCCACTCACCACTCTGCTGGACCTCACCTTCTGCTGCTCCCGGCCTCTCTACTGTAACCTCTGTAGGTCGCTCTCCTGAGGCTCCAACCAGCTCTCAGTGACTGTCAGCTCTTAGTGGGGAAACCTCAGTGCTGAAGCAGGCTGGGCAGAAACACTGTCTCACAGCTCTAGTGATCACTTAAAAAAAAGAGTCTTAATGGAGTGTTAATAACTCTATCTGAAGAGTGGTGAGAGGCAGATTAAACCATGCTTAGATCTCTTACACGGAGCCCACACCCGTCAGCAGGAACACCCATCTCCACCCCCTCTCACCATTGATATGTGTCTGGTGTCTGAGCCCCCTGGTTAGTGAGTTCAGTTCAGTTGTGGGTGACCTCCTCAGTCAGGGCAGGCTAAGCAAAGTTCTGCTGCCTTTACTCAGACAATCAGGACAACAACATTTCACTACCCCTGCATTCAAGTACTGCAGTGATTTGTAACCCAGCACCAGCCAACACAGCTCTGTCTGCTGGATACTAGGCAGAGTGGGTGTGTTTATATAAACACAGTCTGGTCCTGAAGCCTTTCCCCCTCCCCAGCTCATCACTAGCTGTCAGGGGAGAGCTCATTCCCACCTTGTTTACATCCTCAAGATCCAGTCTTCCAACGGGGCTCTCCTCCACCTCGTGTGTGACTATCTCTATTGCTGCCCCACAGGCACAGTGAGAAGATCGGGCTTACTCAAATCTCTGCACTGTATCAATTCCTCTGGCCAGGCCAGTCAGGGGCTTGTTAAGATTAGTCCAGGATCTTCATCTCAGGTTGAAAATAGGCAGATAGAAGTTAGGGCTTCTGAAATCCATCAGCACGCCAGTCTCTGTATCCCAGAGTTGCCGCCCCTCTGTGGGGACACAGCTGTCGGCCCAGCTCTGCCATCATTCATCTGAGACTGGTTCTGGGCTGGCAGCACTAGACACGAGTGCAGCAATGGCTGCCACAAAACGATGTTGCCAAGTCAGTCGTGACAAGTCAGGAGGAACCGCAGGGGCAGGTGTTTGCTTCAGGAGGGGGCCGATCTGCTTGTAGGAAGTGTGCATTGCCTCTGCACTGGTCAGAACCATTGTCAGCCTGGTGCGCAGCAGGTTCCTGCCAGGCGTCCCTGTGCTCCAGGCAGTTCTAAGGGGGATGGACTCTGGGTGACGTTTTCAGGGAGCTATGGAGCCAACACATGTAATTTCGATGCTGATGTCAGGCTAAGGCAACCACTAATGACACGGGTGACTGTTCAGCTCCCAATCATCAAGATGCTTATGCCAGCGTCTGCCCCGCAGCACTGCACAGTATAGCACTGGAGAGAATATCCGCTCCAGAAGTGAGGGTGTAAATCTGGTTCCCAGGAGTTTTCCGCCAGCTTCTGCATCAAGGCAATGCAGGGGGTGATCTTTTTCATTTTGTTCTAATGGGAGCAGTAGGACAGACTGCAGTCCGGTCTGCCTAATTAAGTGACAGCCTAACTAGGTGAGAACTGGCTGGTAGGGGGGTGTACAAACTTCAACATTGCCCAAGTGATTAGCCTGGTCAGTGGTGGGGAGAACTTGACAGGCAGTGGTTGTGTGCAGAGACTGGTCAGACCAGTCAGCAGGAGATGCTACATTCCCCAGAAACAGGAGAGATCAGATACACAGGAACCTCCCTCAGTATTTATTGCCTTGGGTGTTTGCAGCTTCCAAAATCTCAGAAGTGGCTCCGCTCCGACTGGTGAACGGTTCGAGTCGCTGCACTGGGAGAGTTGAAGTATTTCATAACAGGAAGTGGGGAACCGTGTGTGATAACAGCTGGGACTTACAGGATGCTGGAGTCGTGTGCAGGCAGCTGGGCTGCGGGATGGTGCTATCAGCCCCCACCAGGGCTCACTTTGGGCAAGGATCTGAACCTATCTGGCTGGCTGACGTCAACTGCACAGGGACAGAAGTTACCCTCACCCAATGCAGGGCTCGGCCTGTGGGAGAGAATAACTGTACCCATGGAGAAGATGCTGGAGTTGAGTGCTCAGGTAACCTTCATCCATCACATCACTGTCAGTGCTGCAGAGATTGGGCTGGGAAGCTTTCAGCACAGACCCAGCTCTCCTGTCTGAGTCAGCGCTGACCCCAGTGCCCCGGAATGGTTCTAAGGGCCTGTACTGCAGGGAGCCGGTTCGGGGTCACAGTAACTCGCTCTTCCCATGGTGTCAGTGCTGACCCCATTTTCCCCCACACAGTTCTACATGGCTGTGCTGCAGGGAGCAGGATGGGGGCTCAGTAGGGGGTGTGCTCCCCTCGAAGTCAGTGCTGTCCCCAGTGCCCAAGCACAGCACTTAGGGCCTGCACTGCAGGGAACAGTCCGTGCACCTCTGTGAGAGACCCTCCCCGTCGCTGATCACTCTGATTCCCCTGCCCTGCTACAGCAAAATGGGGTGCTGGGTAACCATAGATCCCATTTGTGGGATTCGGGGTTGAATGGATCTTGCAGCCACTCAGGGACCCCTTTATGAAGAGTGGGTTCCTATCACTGTCACTCCGGGTGATTTACATTCTCAACTAATTACCCCTGAACCTGTAACATCCCCGACAGCTGTGACTGGAGACAGGGTTCTTCCTCACTTCCTCTCCTACACAGCCCATGAGTTTCTGTGCTCTGTCTCTCATCTACCCTGTTCCACCCCACAGGTGGCTGCATGGTACTGGTGGGGAGTAGGGTTGTCAAGTTATTAAAAAATTAATTTTGATTAATTGTGAGATTAAAGATTAATCATGATTAATCGTGCAATTAATTGCTCCACTACACAATAAGAGAAAACCCTTTATTTCAAATTTTTTGGATGTTTTCTACATTTTCTACTTTGATTTCAATTACAACTCAGAATTCAAAGTGTACAGTGCTCACTTTACATTTAAGTACAAATATTTGTGAAAAAGAAACAAAAGAAATAGTATTTTCAATTCACCTCATATAAGTACTGTAGTGCCAGCTCTTTATCAGAGAAATTGAACTTACAAACGTAGAATTATTTACAAATAATAACTGCAATCAAAAATAAAACAATGTAAAATTTTAGATCCTACAAGTCCATTCAGTCCTACATCTCATTCAGCCAATCGCTCAGACAATTCTTGTTATAATGTTACCTGAAAGTGAGAACAGGCATTCACATGGCACTGTTGTAGCCGGTGTTGCAAAATATTTACGTGCCAGATCCGCTAAAAAATTCATATGTCCCTTCATGCTTTGACCACTATTCCAGAGGACATGTGTCCATGATGATGATGGGTTCTGCTCGATAACGATCCAAAGCAGTGTAGACTGACAAATGTTCATTTTCATCATCTGAGTCAGATGCCACCAGGGGAAGTTTGATTTTCTTTTTTGGTGGTTCAGGTTCTGTAGTTTCTGCATTGGAGTGTTGCTCTTTTAAGACTTCTGAAAGCCTGCTCCACACCTCGTGCCTCTCAGATTTTGGAAGGTGCTTCAGATTCTTAAACCTTGGGTTGAGTGCTGTAGCTAGCTTTAGAAATCTCTCATTGGTACTTCTTTGTATTTTGTCAAATCTGCAGTGAAGGTGTTCTTAAAACAAACAACATGTGCTAGGTCATCATCCTAGACTACTGTAACATGAAAGATATGGCCGAAGGCAGGTAAAATACATAGCAGGAGATACACAATTTTCCCTACAAGGATTTCAGTTACAAATTAAATTAACACATTACTTTTTTAATGAGCATTATAGAATCATAGAATATTAGGTTTGGAAGAGACCTCAGGAGGTCATTTAGTCCAATTCCCTGCTCAAAGCAGGACCAACACCAACTAAATCATCCCAGCCAAGGCTTTGTCAAGCCGGGCCTTAAAAACCTCTATGGATGGAGATTCCACCAAATCCCTAGGTCACCCATTCCAGTGCTTCACCAGCATGCTTCATCAGCATGGAAGCATGTCGTCTGGAATGGTGGCCGAAGCGTGAAGAGGCATATGAATATTTAGCACATGTGGCACGTAAATATCTTGCAGTGCCACCTGCAAAAGTGCCAGGCGAATGCCTCTTCTCACTTTCGGGTCACGTTGCAAATAAGAAGCAGGCAGGATTGTTTCCTGTAAATGTAAACAAACTTGTTTCTCTGAGCAATTGGCTGAACAAGAAGTAAGACTGAGAGAATGTGTAGGCTCTACGTTTTTTTTTTCTGAGTGCAGTCATGTAACAAAAAAAATCTACATTTGTAAGTTGCACTTTCATAATAAAGAGATTGCACTACAGTACTTGTATAAGGTGAATTGAAAAATACTATTTTTTTACCATTTAACAGTGGTAATATATGTAATCCAAAATACAGTAAAAGCTGTTTTATCCGACGCTACACCAACTGGAAAGCTCTATAAATTGGCATTTCTGATCTTCAATGAAATGCTGGTTTATAGTCCGGTTGGCGCGGGGCCGGAAGGGGTTGGGGTGCAGGAGGGGGTGCAGAGCAAGGACTCTGGAAGGGACTTTGAATGTGGGAGTGGGCTTAGTACACGGGAGGGGGTGCAGGGTGTTGGATCCGGGGGCCACGCACCTCGGATGGCTCCCCGCAAGTGGCGACTTTTCCCGGGCTCCAGCTGCTCCTAAGTGGAGGAGGTGCAACAGGCTGCTCTGCGTGCTTCCCCTCCAGTGCCAGCTGCACAGCTCCCATTGGCTGGGAACCATGGCCAATGGGAGCTGCGGGGGCGGCGCCTGTGGGCGGAGGGAGGGTGCCAAGCCCCCTGCTTCGCCTCTGCCTAAGAGAAGCCAGGACAAGTTGCTGCTTGTGGGGCGCTGTCCGATGAGTCTGGCACCCTGCACCCTATCCCACGCCCCAACAGCCTGCCCCGAGCCCCCTCCTGCACCCAAACTTCCTCCCAGAGCCCGTGCTCCACACCCCCTCCCGTGCCCCAACCCCCAGCCCTGCACTCCTTCCCAACCGGCATTTTTCATTTACCAGAACACCCCCCTCAGCATTACCCCAACATGCCGGATAAAACAACCTTAACTGTAATAATATAAAATGAGAACTGTACACATTGTATTCTGAGTTGTAATTGAAATCAATATATTTGAAAACATAGAAAAACATCCAAAATATTTAATTTATTTCAATTGGTATTCTATTATTTAACAGTGTGATTAAAACTGCGATTAATAGTGATTAATTTTTTTAATCATGCTTAATTTTTTGAGTTGATTGCATGAGTTAACTGCAATAAATTGACGGGGAATGAACCCCAAATAGGCAGTTGCAGAGGTTATTCAGACCTGTCATTGGGAGGGACTACATCCCCCAGCATCACTAGTCATCAGATGTACAGGAACCTCCCTGAGTGTTTACTCCCTTGGGGCTTTGCAGACTTAGGAATTTCAGAAGTGGATCAGCTCCGACTGGTGAATGGCCCAAGTCGCTGTGCTGGGAGAGTCGAGGTGCTTCACAACCAGCAGTGGGGAACCGTGTGTCATGACGGCTGGGACATAACTGAGGCTGGAGTCGTGTGCAGGCAGCTGGGCTGTGGGACGGCGTTATCGGCCCCTAGGAAAGCTCGATTTGGGCAAGGATCTGACCGTATATGGCTGGATGACGTCATCTGCAAAGGGACAGAAGCTGCCCTCTTCGATTGCAGGGCTCAGCCTTGGGGAGACAATAACTGTAACCATGGAGAAGATGCCGGTGTTGTGTGTTCAGGTAACCTTCGTCTGCCACCATGAATGTTGCAGGGAGGAGGGTGGGAAGCTCATTATGGGGCATTGTCCCCTCACAGTCACTGCTGACCCCAGCATGGTGCTTGGGGCCTGTGCTTCAGGGAGCAATATGGCGGTTCCTGTAGGGGGCGCTCTCCTCTCAGTCTGTGCTGTCCCTAATTCCCCTGTGCGGTTCTATGGGCCTGTGCTGCAGGGAACGGTGTGGGGGCTCAGTACGGGACACTCATGCTATCCCCAGTAAGTCAGTGCTGGCCCCAGTGCCCTAGTGCGGTGCTAGGTGGCCTGTGCTGCAGGTAGGGGGTGTCAGTAGGGGGCTGTATTGAATCTAGACTGCCCTGCGTGGTGCCTCCTGCTGGTCATCTTGGGAATTAGTTCTTCATTCTCTAGAATGCCCTCTACTGGCTGATATCTCGCTTGCCTCAGGCCCCCGTGTCCCTGCCGGACCCTGGTGCCCCATATCCTGGGGTTCTGCCCACTGCAGTACCCCCACACACTGGGTCTCCCCTCCCAGAGGAACCCCCACCCTTTATACCCACCTTGCCTTAGTGGCTCCTGCAGTCATCATCTAGCCCCCGCTCACTGGGGCAAACCGCAGTCTGTAAAAGGCCACTCATCATTGGCAAGGGGGTTGGACCAGTTGCCTCTGCCTCACCCCGGGCTGCAGCCTCTGCAACCCCAGTACCTGTTTTGGCCTTTAACTAGGCCTGCAGCCTGGGGATTTGCCAGGCTGGAGCTCCCCAGCTCCTCTTGCCTTGCCTTGCCTTGCCTTGCCTTGCCTTGCCTTGCCTTGCCTTGCCTTTCCTCTGCTCTGCTCTGCTCTGCTCTGCTCTGCTCTGCTCTGCTCCCTGAGCTACCAGTCATTCTCTCTCCAAAGCCATTCTCTCTCCAAAGCTGGAGGGAGCCCTTTTATAGGGCCAGCTGTCTCCTAATTGGGCGTGGCCCCAGCTGTGGCTGCATTCCCAATCAGCCTATACTCATTGGCTCTCAGCCCCAGGCCTCCCCAAGGGCTGGCTTTTAACCCTTTCAGGGCCAGAGCAGGGTAACTGCCCAGCCTCAGGGGCTCTCTCCATTTGTAGTTGTGCTGGCCCTGATGACTAATGCCAGAAACAGGTAAAACCATGAACAAAACCCCTATCCCAGGGTACATTGGGAAGTGGCTCTCCTCCACCACATATGACTGTCTGTATTGCTGCCCCACAGGCACAGTGAGAAGATCGGTCTAAGCCAAATCTCTGCATTGCAGCAGTCCCTCTGGCCAGTCCAGTCAGGGGCCCATTAAGCCTAGTCCAGGATCTGCATCCCAGGTTGCAAATAGGGAGATAGAAGTTAGGGCTTCTGATATTCATCAGCACGCCAGTCTCTCCATCCCAGAGCTGCTGCCCCTCTGTGAGGACACAGCTGTCAGCTAAGCTCTGCCATCATTCATCTGGGCTGGCAGCACTAGACACAAGTGCAGCAATGGCTGCCACAAAACGATGTTGCCAAGTCAGTCGTGGCAAGTCAGGAGGAACTGCAGGGGCAGGTGTTTGCTTCAGGAGGGGGCCGATCTGCTTGTAGGGAGTGTTCATTGCCTCTGCACTGGTCGGAACCATTGTCAGCCTGGTGCGCAGCAGGTTCCTGTAAATTCGATGCTGATGTCAGGCTAAGGCAACCACTAATGGCACGGGTGACTGTGTTCAGCTCCCAATCACCAAGATGCTTATGCCAGCGTCTGCCCTGCAGCACTGCACAGAATCCCACTGGAGCGAATACCAGCGCCAGGAGTGAGGGTGTATATCTGCTCCCCAGGAGGTTCCTGCCAGCAGTGCAGGGGGTGATCTTTTTCATTAAGTGCTCTAGTGGGAGCAGTCGATCAGACTGAAGTCCAGCTGGCTGGTAGGGGAGTGGAAAAACTTCAACATTGCCCAAGTGATTAGCCTGGTCAGTGGTGGGGAGCCCTTGACAGGCAGTGGCTGTGTGCAGAGACCGGTCAGACCCGTTGGCGGGAAGCGCTATGTTCCCCAGCGACAGGAGAGATCAGAGGCCCAAGAACCTCCCTGACTGTTTATTCCCTTGGGTGTTTGCAGACTCCAGCATCTCAGAAGTGACTCAGCTGCGACTGGTGAACGGTTTGAGTCGCTGTGTTGGGAGAGTCGAGGTGTTTCACAACCAGCAGTGGGGAACCGTGTGTGATGACAGCTGGGACTTACAGGATGCCGGAGTCGTGTGCAGGCAGCTGGGCTGTGGGACAGCGTTATCAGCCCCAGTTGGGGCTCATTTTGGGCAAGGATCTGACCATATTTGGCTGAATAATGTCAACTGCACAGGGACAGAAGTTGCCCTCTCCGATTGCAGGGCTCGGCCTTGGGGAGCCAATAACTGTACCCACGGAGAAGATGCTGGTGTTGACTGCTCAGGTAACCCTCGTCCATCACGTCACTGTGGGTGGTGCAGGGATCGGGCTGGGAAGCTTTCAGCACAGACCCAGCTCTCCTGTCTGAGTCAGCGCTGACCCCAGTGCCCCAGCATGGTGCTAAGGGCCTGTACTGCAGGGAGCCGGTTCGGGGTCACAGTAAGTGTCGCTCTTCCCATAGTGTTAGTGCTGACCCCATTTCCCCCACATAGTTCTACATGCCTGTGCTGCAAGGAGTAGGATGGCCGCTCAGTAGGGGGCTCTCTGTCCTCGAAGTCAATGCTGTCCCCAGTGCCCAGTACATCACTTAGGTCCTGCGCTGCAGTGAGCAGTACGTGCGCCTCAGTGAGAGACCCTCCCCGTCACTGATCGCTCTGATCCCCCCGTCCCACTACAGCACAATGGGGCACTGGGTAACCGTAGATCCCATTTGTGGGATTTGGGGTCAAATGGAGCCTGCAGATGCTCAGGGATCCCTTTATGTGGGTTTCCTACCCCTGCCACTCCGGGTGATTTCCATCTCAGCTAATTACCTCTGAACCTGTAATATCCCCCACTGCTGTGACTGGAGACAGGGTTCTTCCTCATTCCCTCTCCTACACAGCCCATACTTTTCTGTGCCTGATCTCTCAGCTGCCCTGTTCCACCCCAGAAGTGGCTGCATGGCACTGGTGGGGAGTAGGGCTGTTAAGTGACAAAAAAAAAAATGTATCGTGATTAATCGTGCCTTTGCACAGTAATAGAATACCATTTATTTTAATTTTGGGGGGATGTTTTCTCCATTTTGCAAATATATTGAATTCAATTACAATACACAATACATAGCAGGAGATACACAATTCTCCCCCAAGGATTTCAGTCACAAATTAAATTAATACATTATTTATTTAACGAGCGTTATCACCATGGTGGTTGAAGCATGAAGGGGCATATGAGTGGTTAGCATATCCAGCACGTAAATAACATGCCAGCTGCACAAGTGCCATGCGAACACCTCTTCTAACTTTCTGGTGACACTGAAAATAAGAAGCAGGCAGCATTATCTCCCATATATGTAAACAAAGTTGTTTGTCTTAGCGATTGGCTGAACAAGAAGTAGGAGTGAGTGGACGTGTAGGCTCTAAGTTTTACATTGTTAAGTGCAATTATGCAACAAAAAAATCTACATTTGTATTTTGCACTTACACGAGAAAGAGATTGCACTACAGTACTTTTATGAGGTGAATTGAAAAATACGATTTCTTTTATCATGTTTACAGTGCAAATATTTGTAATCCAAAATAATAATAACTAGTGAGCACAGTACACTTTGTATTCTGTGTTGTAATTGAAATCAAAATGCTTGAAAACTTAGAAAAACATCCAAAATATGTAATAAATTTCAATTGGAATTCTATTGTTTAACAGTGTGATTATGTGATGGGGTCAGGACTCACCACCGCTGGCACCTCCTGCTGGTTGCTCCAGGGATTAGCTCTTGTCAGCTACTCTGAGTGTGGTTTCTCGCCCGTGGTCTGCTCTGCTGGTTTAGGAACCGCGTTGCTCCCCGCTCGGCGGTGTCCGCTCCAGGACACTGCCCTCTGGCAGTGCCCACTACTCCACCCTCACCCCCTTCCGGGGGCGGGGGTGGTTAACGACAGCCTTTGGCTTCCACCTGCTTCAGTGGCCAACTGCAACCCCAAAGTCTAGCCCCTCCGTGGCCAGGTGCAGTGCAAAGGGGTAAGGGGGGGACCCAGGCCCACCCGCTACTCTTGATCCCGATCCAGGGACCCTCTAGTGGCAGCCTCTCTCTGCCCTCCTTCTCTCCCCTCTTGTCCATCTATCTTCCCTGGGCCACTTCCCCTTTGGCCCTGTGCACCTTGTCGACCCTTTTTAGCAGGGGCAGCCTGGCAGGTAACTAGGTCGGAGCTCTCCTCTGCTTCCTGGAGCCTGCCCAGCACTGCTCTGTCTAAGGTGCTACCTCCTTTCCTCAGGACCCAGTCCTTCTCCCTTGCTAGTCAGAGAGAGACTGCTTTCTCCTTTGCTAGGCAGCCTTTGTATAGGACCCAGCCCGGCCCTGATTGGCTGCCTCTTCCTTGGCCCTGATTGGCTCTCCACAGGCCTTCCCTGATTGGCTGCTGGTCTGTGCAGCCTCTCTGGCCTGTCCCAGCCCTTTTCCTCATGGAGTGGGGCAGCCGCCCCCTACAGATTAAAATAATTTTTTTAAATTGTGATTCACTTTTTTCTGTTGATCGTGTGAGTTAACTGTGATTAATCGACCGCCCGAGTTTGAAATGAAATGTTTCAGGTATTCCGCACTTTCTGAGAATGACATTTTCCTCGAACCTCCTCTAGCCTTTCTGTTTCTGGTGTTGATGCTCACTTATCTCCTCACTGCTGGAGAAACACAGGTCCAGCACCAGAGACAACCCGTAACTGCCGATAGTGGGAGGGCTGAATGAACATGCTAGGTATAAGCCACGCAGCAGCTCGGGGGTGGGGATGGGGGGCATGTGACCCCACACCCAGATGGATCAAGTATCAGGGGGTAGCTGTGTTAGTCTGTATCCACAAAAACAACAACGAGTCCGGTGGCACCTTAAAGACTAACAGATTTATTTGGGCAGTTGCAGAAGTTATTCGGACCTGTCATTGGGAGGGACTACATCCCCCAGCATCTCTACTGATCAGATGCACAGGAACCTCCCTGAGTGTTTATTCCCTTTGAGCTTTGCAGATTCTGGCATTTCAGAAGTGGGTCAGCTCCGACTGGTTAAAGGCCCGAGTCGCTGCGCTGGTAGGGTCGAGGTGCTTCACAACCAGCAGTGGGGAACCGTGTGTGATGAGAGCTGGGACATAACTAATGCTGGAGTCGTGTGCAGGCAGCTGGGCTGTGGGATGGCGTTATCAGCCCCAGGAGGGGCTAGATTTGGGCGAGGATCAGACCGTATCTGGCTGGATGACGTTCACTGCATAGGGACAGAAGCTGCCCTCTCCGATTGCAGGGCTCGTCCTTGGGGAGACAATAACTGCACCCACGGAGAAGATGCCGGAGTTGTGTGCTCAGGTAAACTTCTTCCACTACTATGTGTGTTGCAGGGAGCAGGGTGGGAAGTTCATTATGGGGTATTGTCCCCTCACAGCCAGTGCTGACCCCACCATGGTGCTTTGGGGCCTGAGCTTCAGGGAGCAATATGGCGGTTTAAGTAAGGGGCTCCTCTCACAGTTGGTGCTGACCCTAATTCTCTTGTGCCGTTCTATGGGCCTGTGCTGTAGGGAATGGGGCGTGGGCTCAATGCGGTGCCAAGGGCCCCTGGCATGAGGAAGCCTTGTCTGTGCCTGCTGG